TTATATTACAGTAATTGAAGCTTCACATGCTTGTTTATGTAGAGTGGTTTGAGGTACTGAGGGAAATGAGCACTGCCGAACGAAAATGAAGACGGTGATGAGAAAAGTTGGAAAGTATGAGGTTGGGAGAACAATTGGAGAGGGAACATTTGCAAAAGTGAAGTTTGCGCAGAACACCGAGACTGGTGACTGTGTGGCTATCAAGGTCTTGACCAAGAGTACAATTCTCAAACACAAAATGGTTGATCAGGTGTACTTCTTCATGTTGCTATGGCTATCATATTAACCGTTGTTGTTTTCTTTCAAAGTGTATGAGGGGAAAGAAGGGAAATGTTATCCCATTATCCGGATTTTGTCTTCGATTTAAACATTTTGGCATTGACTATGAAATATATTTGCAAAGAGAACATTGGCCTTGTCAAATGTGGGACAAAACATAATCAAAATCACCACGCTACTAACGTTGCAAATTCATGTTGAAGTTAGCATGTGAAGAAAATGGAAACACTTATATATATGGATAATGTTAAAGCGTAGCAGCGAACCAGGAACTAGTTGTACTCCATCCGATACTCTAGATGGAGGAGATATTGATTTGTCTGGTTCCTTTCCTTGTTAAGTCTTAGGTACTTATTCAAGTTCATTTCCAGATAAAACGTGAAATTTCCATTATGAAGATTGTCCGACATCCTTGTATAGTCAAATTGCATGAGGTAAGCTTAAGCTTCTTATGGTGCATTAGAATTGATTCAAGCATCAGTTTGAGCGGCTATATTCAGTGTAATCATTTTTAGTGTGGCCTGTTGCTTTTTATTGTTCCTTTGCCTTGCAGGTTCTAGCCAGCCAATCAAAAATATACATAGTTCTTGAATTTGTAACAGGAGGAGAACTTTTTGATAAAATTGTAAGTACTTTCTGAACAATATAAAGTGAATATTTTCTTATGGAAACCATTTGCATCAACATGGAAATGAAAAATCATTTGTTTGATTGCATATAAACCTAAAATCTGTGTCATGTGATCATGTATGAGCTTATTTGTAAGTGTATATATGTGTGGACTTGGAAGGTCAGTGAGTATAGAGCGGATGCATTTCCAAACACACATTTCTATTGTATGCATGAGTATAAAAGGCACTGTGAGTAAGTTATCTCCAAGCAGTCTTCTTACGGTGAAATGTTCCGGGATCCTTTTATTTTCTGGTGGGCTTTGATTGTTACATGCATGATTGGCGCCATTCTTATATTTCTTCTGGATACGCAGGTTCATCATGGAAGACTCTCTGAGAATGAATCGAGGAGATACTTTCAACAACTGATTGACGCGGTTTCCCACTGCCACAGCAAGGGTGTGTATCATCGTGATCTAAAGGTGTGGGTCAATTTTTAAATAATTGAGATTACTGCTTTTCTTAGGGTTCAAATCTGATGGATAAATGTATCATAGCCTGAAAACCTGCTCCTTGACTCCAAAGGAAGCTTGAAGGTCTCTGATTTTGGGCTGAGTGCGTTGCCCCAACAAGTAAGAACAATTATTATTTCAATTTAGATGGTTTTGGTTCCTGTTGGTTCTTGTTTTGTTTTACATTGGGTCAGGAATGTCATTCACTATGTGTGCCAATTTCCATTCTATCCTCATACTAAATCCGTGACCAGGGAGTTGATCTTCTCCATACAACTTGTGGGACTCCAAATTATGTTGCTCCTGAGGTATGATTTTCATTATGCAGTGTTTATCTAAAAGCGAGCCACCTGTCTTAATTCGTGGTTTTCTTAGCGTGTATACTGATCTCTTCGTAATTTCTTTGTCCGGATGAAGCATACTTCAATTTTATTTGAGAGCAGGACACCTATTAGTGCCAATATAAGTTGGAAAGTTGTGATTTATGCTTATTGCTATATTTGTATCGATCTAGTTATTTCAATGCTTTGATATTCCTAAACATCTTAACCAAATCAAGTACTAAGGATTCATTTTCTTATTACCTTTTTTGTTTTTTTTCTTAATTTTTCCCCTTTGTGGTTTCGCTTCATTATTTGGAATAACAGTAACTTGAATTGGTGTTCAGTGTTGCATATAAATGTCAGTGTCTCTCTTTCCACCTCCTATTTATGTAGAGTATGGAACACATGTATTTGTGTAAGCACCTGTTGCTTTTATTTAACCTACCCTGTCCAGAAAATATTTAAATAATATGGCCATTGAAGTCCAAAAGCAACCTAATGAACTTAAAGGGAGTGGTACTTTGCGAATCACCACATGCAAGACAAAATAGCTAATCTAGCTGGAAATGTGATAAATACTGTGACATGTGGAAGGAGTGTAACTTGATATGAGTAGTTATTGTGCTCTAGTTTTGTTTTCTAAAGTGTTTTCGACATTGTACAATGTTTACTCTGAGCATTATACCAGAAACTGCCTTATGATCTGCAATTGTTCTTCTCAATGATATTTAATAGCAAAAAAGTATATGTTCTACATCACATATATGTATGGTATATGAGAAGGCGTAACATAGATTGAGAAGGCGTACTACTGATTGACTCAAGTAATTGATGTAAATGTGAGTAGCCTAGCTACTGTATTTCTTTCCAGAATCAGATAATCTCCATTATGCAATTATTTGATTCTGAATAGGCATTGCCCTAGTATCTTTTGACTTTCTTAGCCTTTTCATTTGTTGAACATATGTTTTCGAATCTTCAGTACATAATTGTTTGTTTGTTTGGAAACGTCCCGAGAGGATTGGAGATTAAGGCGGGATCCCAACAAAGTCCATAAGGACAAAAGAGTCCACCTGTAAGCTTTAATCAGTATTGGACCTCAGGCCACAATGCACAAAACAAGTACTGTACAAGAAATGTAAAAGCACACGCGCAACAACTGGAAAATGGGCTAATAGGTGCCCAATGATACAATCTGCAACACAAAATGTGGGCCAAAATATATAATATAAAACTATGACTGCTAAGAGATTTGTAACTTCTAGATATGACTGCATTTATAAGAGTTGTTTTATGTTTTAAGTAAGCCCGTTGCTAAAAGTTGGTTAATACAAATCAAATCAATCTGCCTAATAAAAAGACATGAACAATATTCTAACTATAGAAGATATACACAAATATTCTAACATCATCAATGAGCAAGATATCTATATTTTACCTAACTGGTTGCTTATCTTATTTGCTGCATCTCACAATTCAAAATATTGATTCGTGGAAGTTGTGATGCTGTTAAAGTTTCTTGATTTGTTCCAAAGTTTTTATGGATTCCAGCTGTTGTCCTTCTCCCTATTTCCTATATAATGTGTTTCCTTTGGAGAGGTCTATTGTGCTATTGAATGGTCAAATAACCTCATCAAAACATCAGCTCATATACTAGGTCATTTAATCTGCTTTCCTTTAGGAACAGAAAGGAAAAAGACAAAAATGTTGTTCTTGCTGATATCTTGGTTAGTTGTCTCTAATGTCTATAGGTACTAAGCCACCGAGGTTACG